TTTTTTTTTTTTTTTTTTTTTTGTCTTTTTGTCTTTTAAAAAATTTCTGGATCTTAATGATCTTGCAAGCAGTCTATATCTTCATTTGATGTGCTAAATGGCTGTTTCTAAAATATTTTTAAATAGCACTGTTCAAGTGCTGCAATTAAAATATAGAATTATTATGCAGTCACATGTCTGATCACCTACCATAAACGAAGAGGAAGTTTTTATATACTTACAAGTCAAAGACAAAGAAGAAATTTGAAGAAAATTCTAATATTTTCCTAACTTTCCCATAGCTATCAGAAACCGTTCATATGTTCCTAAAAACTAAGCCATTTAAAGGGACACATTTTACTATTTTATCAGCATTACTTATCAATAACTATCTGCCAGCAAGTTTCCTTTCCTGCAACCAATGGTTGTGTGGGTGGTTACATAAAACTATCTGGATTCACATAAGAGCTTTACACTTTCATAAATTAACTCATTTTTAATCTCATTTTTATCTATTAATATTTTCATTCATTTTCGAACCAAAATTGTTCTCTAATTCTAATCCTTAAATTCTGCGCCATTTATTTTAAGTGCCCAACATTATCCTTTCCACTGTCTTTCTGTTTAAACTTGCATGGGTTTGTTTTACAGTATAAAACACAAAGCACCTGAAAGTTCTTCCAAGCTCATGGCAAAAAGAGAAACCTGATGATGGAGCAGGTGCCATAGGGCGGGGGCCAGAGGGCAGGGAAGGAGGGCTTAGAGAGAGCCGTGAAAGGGCACCAGCTGCCCTTTCTTGAGATGCACTGTTTTTCATCTTTACATGATGCCTTTTCTGTTCTTTCTATGAAATGATAATAAATGATAAGTAGTTAGATGTTTTAAGGACCTGTCGGGCAAAATTGAAAGCTGACAATCCTATTTTGGTCTCCCCCAAAATTCTATCTAAAATCGCAATTTGAAAACGAATTTAAAACAAAGCAGCTTGCCAATTTGTCATCTAAAGAAGAGTCTCGCATGTTTAGGTGTGCTGTTCACATTGTAAAACAATTTTTATATGAGATCCTTTTCTACGTTGATTATTAAAATGAGTTCATTAAAACATTCACTAGAATTGGTTTAGTTTAATCTTCTGATAAACAGTACATGTTGCTTTGTTACGTAATAATCCAAAACGGAAATGTTCTGTTCTCATTTTCACATCCAAGAAGTCAAGAATCGGAACCCAGTATTTTGACTGAAATCCTTACAGTGCCAGTGAATGGAACACGGGGGCTCAGGGGACACAAGGGCTCACTTTGGGCTCAGCTGGGGGACCATGCTTCTTGTGGCTCATCTACTGGGCCCAACTGTGGCTTTGATAACCTGCTTGCTCTAAAATCATACTGTTTGTTGTTTGTCCATATGCTGCCTTCCTCCTAGGACTTCTAGCAGCAGAAAGTAGGTATCCCTTTGTTTTCCTCTAAGGTTTATCTTTTATGCAAAAGTATTTGGCTTTGCATGGTTCATAGTCAGCTTGACTTTTTCCTTGGCTGTTTGTGTTTAGATATTTAATTATGAATTTTAACACTGCCTGATTATAAAATAAAAACTTGGATACATTGATTTCCTGAGGCATTGTTATATAAGTAATATTAACTTCTCACTTATGTCATAAGAGGAAAAGGAGGCAGTGTTAAAATTTTAACTGCACTGAATTTTATTTCACATCTGAATTTCAAGCACAAACATTAATTCTGGGGGAAGGGTAACATTTTACTTTATTGTTTGCTTTCAAGAAAACGCAGGGTAAGTGAATTTTCCTTTGACAATTACATATGTATAAGCAGTTTTTATTACTTTCTGTTATTGACTCTATTTCCAGTTTATTAATATGGAGCTGTGAAATAAAATACTGAATTCATGTCTCTTAACTTTTACCTTCAGAAAGAACATTTATAAAGAATAATGTAGTATCTAGATTTTAATTACAAAGGGATGTGATTTGAGTATGTGAGAATATTAAAGTAAAAGGTATGTAAGAAATTACACACAAATAAGTACAAATAAAATTAAGGCAACCTGAATAAGGTAGATTATATCAGTGTCAGTATTCTGGTTGTGATATTACACTGTAGTTTTGTAAAATGTTACCAATGGGGAAACCGAGCAAAGTGTACGATGGATCTCTGTGTTATTTCTTAAAACTGCATATGACTCTATAATTATCTCAATAATAATTTCAGTTAAAACAAAAGAATAAACCTTTACCTTAATGTTGTGCTTACTGGAGGGAAGGTATATAAGAGACAAAGATAAATTAGAAAATCTGGAAGCTAATAATTGAATTAGTTCATTTATTTTGAACTAATAGAAACATCATTACATCAGTTACATTAGTTACATTAGTTAGTTGTAGCTCAAATTACAGCTGATTTAATACAGTCAATCGCCACTTAACAACCTGGGATAGCCCGGCCGGGTGTGGCTCAGCGGTTGAGCCTCAACCTAGAATCCAGGAGATCGCAGTTCGATTCCCAGTCAGGGCACATGCCCGGGTTGCGGGCTCGATCCTCCATGACTCTCTCATCATTGATGTTTCTGTGTCTCTATCTACCTCTCCCTTCCCGTCTCTGAAATCAATAAAGATATATAAATAAATAAAACAACCTGGGATACATTGTGAGAAATGTGTCATAAGGCGATTTTGTTGTTGTGCAAACACCAACAATGCACTTACC